AAAAAAAAAAAAAAAATAGCCTGTCAGCCTTACCAGCCAGAGGCATTAAAACCAACTAAGGGCTTTTTTGCAGGGAGGGGTTGGGGTCTAAAAAATCAGAAAAGATTTCATGTTTTCATTTATCTGTATTCATTCTCACAGAGAAACCAGCCTGAGAAAATTTGGTTTACAGTGTATGGCAAGAGACTGAATTAGAGATTTTAGTTCTGTATCAATATTTGCGTCACAGCAATTTTGGCTTGAACTTGAACTTTACTGGCCTTTGTTCTTCCTCAGAGATTTCCTCCTCCGCATGGACCACCATAGAGCAATTTTTAAGTGTTACTCAGAGAATAAGGGATACCAGGCAGTCCTGGCGGTGTGTCTCTTGGAGATCTACATAATGACAAAGAAAAAGTAAAGAGAGATTATGGGCCTGGATGAGGAGCCAATAAAAGGGCTCAGTTCAGCTTTGATCTTTCCAGAGGCTCTAAAAATAGACCTGGTATGTCCTCCATTGTAATGGGAAACGGCTGATGTATCTCAAAACTACAGTGATGGCATCTCATTTTTTAATAGGCTTTGAGATAGTCTGAGTTATTTTTACACATATACTGTGTGTTACAGTTAATTTCCTTTTGGATGCCTCTCTAAGCCTTCTAACACCCAGTGATTTAACCTGGGCTTTAAAAACTCATGATTCTTGATAAAACTTTCATGTTAGAGTGTTATGCAAAATAGTGCTGGGGTCATTAATCCCAAACTGTGGCCTCTCAGTTGTAATTTGGGACTTCTTTGCTGTGTAACCTACATCTGGCAGTGTGGAAGGGATTGAATTCTAAGGAAATTCTCTCCACTCAGAGTTGACAAGCTTTCTTTGAAAACTTTGCTTGGGTCATATCTTATGAGAAGCACTGTCTTGACCAGTTTCTCTAAAAAGTTAACTTAGATTTGGCAAATTATGTTGATAAATTTGGTTAATTTTAGGTGCTCCAAAATTTAGAGTAGTTTTTCTTTTTTCTTCAAAAGTAAACTAAACTCTTGTTATATTATTATGCATCCCAAGTGCCTACATTGAGATTTAAAGCTTACCATTTGTCAGTAGTTACCCATGAGCTCATTCTTTCTATAGTTTCGGGTATCTTACATCTGCTTAAATCAGGGCCTCAAGGATGTCTAGGAGCACTTTTGTCTTTAGAAATGCAAGTTTTAGGATTATCTGCTCTTTAGTGGAGCACGTTCTTTTTCTTTGAATGGCTGAGCTAATTGGTCTCCAAATAACTTGGCAGTATTAATTTTCATATTGAAATCGTTTGGCACAGGTGCCAGAAGTTTTTCTGTGGCTTTATGTAGATCTGGCTAGTCAATGAAATAAAGATAATTGGGTTCTCTAAGTGAAATGCAAACACTCACTCTTTCTTGTTCTATTTCTAATTAAATTAGCCCCTGAGATACTGTTTAGAAAAGAATCACAAGCATACCAGCTAACTGAGGTCCCTTGCATTCTTTAAAAGAGAATAGCTTTGCATTTTTCTTTCACACTTACTGTAAGCATTAAATTAAATACAGGTATCACTTTTTTGTTAGCAAAATTATTTCTTCTTGGTGGTCATTCTGAGAGTCCTGCTTTACATAAACATGCTGGACGATTTAATACAAACTGACTTGGATTTTAACAGCTGTACTATTCCCATAGCGATCACTTTTCATGTGGTCTGGGTATTAAATTTCTTTTGTGCTGAAAAGGTTGCTTCATTGGTGCACGTATTTCCTTACAGTAGAAACACAGCATTTACTTACTTGGCTAACTTCTTTATTAGCTTAGAAGAATGTCATTCTCTATTATCTGCAAACCGCACATTAAAACTTTGAAATGACAAATCCAATTACATTTTCATCTCTGTATGTGAATTTTTCTTAACGCATACTTAGCATAATATTTTTTATACTGAGTCATATCATAGTTGTTATTGTTTCAAAAAGATTCTTTGGGGCTAAAAATGACTTGAAAAATTCTCCTTTGACATCCATGAAGTAATTTTTTCCTTCGGTAGTTTTCACTATTTTTGCTTTTTTTTTTCCTAGGACCAGACCATACTTATGTCTTGATTTAACCACAAATACAGACAGAAAGATTGGGGAGGTAGATCAGCTCTGCTGAGTGATAATCCTCTTGTTCATTATCATATATATATAGAGAGAGAGAGAGAGAGAGCTTCTATAAGGCCTGAAGTGAGGAAGAATACAGTTCTCTGCTTCTCTGGCAGGGAAGGCTGAATCTTCTACATAAATCATTTCTTATCCTGTTTCATTTTAGCTTGGCATTGAGCCAGGTGAATTGTTCCATCGCACAGAAAAAATATTGAAGAATCTGGAGGGAGGGGGTGGTGAGGAGTCACTTTCATTCCAATTTCTGTTTATTGCCTTGCAAGACTTTCTAAAATGACTGTGTCGGCCACTGGAATTTCAAAAAACCTTATTTGAAGCTATATGGGTTGTTTTTTAGTACTAAAAAGGAATTTAGAGCCACTTTATTATTAGCCTTTCACCTAAATATTCTTGGGTAAGTTAGGGTATTTTTTTTTATAACTTTCTAGTTTGATATAATTTTAAACTTACAGAACAGTTGCAAGAATAGTACAAGGAACTCCTGTATACCCTTTACGCAGATTCACCAATTGTTTACATTTTGCCCCATTTGTGTGTGTGCGCTCCCCTACCACCCTCCCTGCTTCCTCCCCACCCTTCTCTTTTTTTTGAAACTGAGAGTAAGTTGGAGACATTGTGGTCCTTTACAACTAGATACCTCAATGTCTGTTTCCTAAGACCAATGCTGTTATCTAATCCTTAGTCTATGTTTCAAATGTCGTTTTTTGTACCAGGAATGTTCTTTATAGGTTTTTTTCCCTCTCAGACCAGGATGCAATTCAGGATCAAGTATTGCGTTTAGTTGTCGTGTCTCTTTGGCTTCTTTCAATCTGGAAAAGTTCCTTAGCCTTTCTTTGTCTTTCGTAACCTCAACATTTTGATATTTTGCCCGCTATTTTGTAGAATTTCCCTCGATTTGGATTTGTCTAATGTTTCCTTATGATTAGATTCAGGTTATGAATTTTTGGCAGGAATACCAAAGAAGTGATGCTGTATCCTCATGTTAGGAGGCACATGATGTATTTTATCCCCTTTGGTGATATTAATTTCCCCTCTCCGTATTTGTAACTACTTTCCCCAACAGTGAGAAACCTGGCTCCCATTATCCTGGATATTTTTACTCACTTACTCAAGTCTAGAATACACAGAAACCAGTTTCACAGTTGTTAGCCCATACTACTGCGGAAAGTAAACCTACCAGCTAGAGTTCGATATTTGTGCATGGTTCTTTTTTTCTAGGTAAAATTTATATACAGTGAAATGCATGAATCTTAAGAGAACAATTCTATAAGTTTTGACAAATGTATACACTCATGTAACCTACATTTCAATCAAGATACAGAACGTTTCCGTTACCCCAGAAAGTTCCCACGTATCCCTTCCCAGTCAGTCTTGGCGGAGGGAACAGTATGTTGAATACCGTGACCATCCTCTTTCCCTATAAGGAGTAAAGCTAGGCACCTTCTGGTGTTTCATGCAACAGTAGCCTTGTTTCTGGGACCCAGAAGTTGACCAAAACTTCTCTCAGATCTGCAGAGTCAGGAGCAGGGCTGTGCCTAAGGAGACTGTGTACAGAGTATTCTTGCTGTTATTGCACGATTCTGTCACCACAATCTTTGTGATATTGGAGGAACAGCCTGTTATGAAGAAACAGGCCCCAAACTTGGTTTTTAAACAATCTTGGACCTGCCTACTGCACAGATGTAGCAGGATATGCCCAGAAACCTGATCTTGAGATTTTAATTAGTGATTAGCAATCCTAATAATATACTCATTCTGATGTTTACTATGCGATGGGCTCTTCTGTAGATGGGTTATGATTAAATATCCCAAAGTGACTTGTCATGAGCTTTTTGTGTTCGTCTGTGTATGTGTATCTTGAGGGGTGATAGGGAGAGGGTGGTGCAGGAAGAATATCTGTCAGCTGGTATCATCATATGGTAGATTATACTTTCTTTTGCCTTTGTCATAGCCGGCCTATCCATTTATCTTTTGATATTATGTAATCCTACCTTTCTTCTCTCATATTTATTTGTTACTTAAAAAGCATGAAATCCCAAAATTAAACTCAGCTATTTAAACTTTAAGAAAAACATCTTGGGGCCAGCTCAGTGGCATGGTGGTTAGGTTCGCACACTCCGCTTTGGTGGCCTGGGGTTCACAGGTTCGGATCCTGGGCATGGACCTACACTGCTCATCAAGCAATGCTGTGGCAGTGATCCACATACAAAATAGAGGAGGACTGGCACAGATGTTGGCTCAGGGCCAATCTTCCTCACCAAAAAAGAAACACCTCTTTCCCAAAGCAGCCTGTCACCTAAGAGTTCTGCAGATCTACCAGTTAGAGGATAGAAATACAATTCATAGATTTGGAAAGAAAGGTTAAAGTCTTACTGTGTGACTCTTAGCAGGCATTCATTTATTCAACTGACATTTGCATCCATGCTGTGTGCCAGACATACAAAGATGATTAAAATAGCCACTGCCTTCAAGGAACATTATCTAGAGGATGAGACAGACCTATAAACCAATAATGATCTCCCTTATATTGTGATATGCTCTA